TCCACAGCTTCAGTGCTGTGTTCAGTCCACAGCTTCAGTGCTGTGTTCAGTCCCACAGCTTCAGTGCTGTGTTCAGTCCCACAGCTTCAGTGCTGTGTTCAGTCCACAGCTTCAGTGCTGTGTTCAGTCCACAGCTTCAGTGCTGTGTTCAGTCCCACAGCTTCAGTGCTGTGTTCAGTTCCACAGCTTCAGTGCTGTGTTCAGTCCCACAGCTTCAGTGCTGTGTTCAGTTAACAAATTCTGTGTTGCTTTAACAAATTCCAAATTTTTTTTAACAAATTCTTTTAGCAAATTTTTTTTAACAATAACAAACACATTTTTTTTAACAAATTCCAGTGTTAATATCAGTTTATTTTCCAGAGGGTGACCGGCGACGTGTTGCTGGGCTGCAAAGATGACGAAGGCGACGATGACTCAGCAGAAATGGACACGTCGGGCATGACTCAGGACGCTGCTATTGCTGCTGACGGCAGCAATAGCAGCAGCAAGATGAGCAACAGTCAGCACTACTCGTGTAGCTTCTGCACCTACACGTCCATCTACAAGAACAACTACCTACGACACGTGGCCAAGCATAACTCAGACCAGGAGCTACTGCACTGCAGGAGATGTCCGTTTAATACCATTTATAAACATAGTCTCAAGCGCCATATGCTCACCCATCCTGAAGAGAAACCTGAGGAATCCAACGCTAACGCCTCTACCACCACCGCCACCGCCACCGCCGCCACTGATGCTGATGGTGGTACAGAGTCCACGTCTACGTCAGAGAGTTCGTTGCTGTGTGACCATTGTCCCTACAAGACCAAGAACCCGCAGCATTTTAAAAGACATTTATTAAGACACAGCAACGAGAAGACCATGAAGACCTACACTTGTGACACCTGTGGGTACGCGTCCAAGTATAAGCAGCACTATGAACGTCATCTCCTCAAACACTCTGGAAAAAAGACGTATAAATGCACCGAGTGTGACTATGCTACGGCTTACATTGATAACTATAAACGCCATTGCATGAAACACTCCAAGGAAAAGTCCTTTTCTTGTGAACAATGCAATTATACTTCCGCTTACCCCGACAACTACAAGCGACATATGCTTAAACACTCGGGGGAAAAATCTTATTTCTGTCCACACTGTAACTATGCCTCGGCATATTCCGACAACTATGAACGGCATTTATTGAAGCATGCCAATGGCAAGATATACACATGTACATCTTGTAACTACAGGTCAGCTTATGTTGATAACTACAAGCGTCATCTTCTGAAGCACACTCGTGACAAACTGCATACGTGTCAGTACTGTAACTACAGCACCGTGTACATAGATAACTACAGGCGTCATGTTACTGTACATACAGGGGAAGGAGCACAAACATGTCCTCATTGTAATTATAGTACTACGATTAAGTACAAGTATAAACAACACATGTCCCTCCATACAGGCCAAGGACTCATACAGTGCCCGTATTGTCCATACAAAACACCACGCAAGTATCAGTATAAACGTCACTTGTCTATTCACACCCAAGAGGGTAGGTATAACTGTACTATTTGTTCACATAGCACAGCGTACAAGAGTTCTCATAGAAAGCACATGCTCAAGCATGGTAAGGAGCCTGACTTTGCTGCAGAAACCTCAAGTGCAGAAACTTTAAATGAAGATGGAGGAGCTACGGAACATACAGGAATAACCGTCAGTATTGGTATGCACGACTCGACCGACATGAACGCTTTGATGGAACCAACGACCTCCTCCAGCAGCAGCAGCCTTAAAAGTGAACCTAGCAAAGCTTTGAATATGAAGTCAGATATGAAAATGGACGTTTTAACATCAGAACAAATGAATACGTCGCCAGTAACATCTGGCGTCGCTCCGTTACCAACACGGTCTATACGGCAAATCAAGTCTAAACGCAACAGCCTCGCTCGGGTCTGCGTGGCCAACACCGACACAGTCACTAGCTTGACAGACTGTGGCAAGAAACCTGCGGAATCTGGGGGGAACTTCTACAACGGCGCTGTATCTAGCGATATTTCCACCAGCTCATCCAGCAACATTTCTCTTCTTAGCGGGAAAATCACTGAGGAATCTCCTGCTGTTGTTACATCTTCTGGTCCTCAGACCGCTCGAGTCGCGCCCATGACTCGCGTCAGTCAGCAGCAACAGGGGCAGCAGCCATTGCAGCATCAGCATCAACAGATTTCTCATATTCATAATCAACAGATTCAGTTGATAAGCCCCTTGTCAGCTGCTGTACAAGACCTCACTTGTGGAGGTCAGAACTTGGTTGTCAACAGACTTGGGCTGCCGTCCGCGGCCTCGGACCTCACCCGACACTCCAGCGACCATCAGCACTTGGCCAGCATTCAGAACCTGAACGCCCAGAACCTAATGGTCGCCAGTGACCGCGGTATCAACAATCTTCAGGACATGGCGCCCTTAGCAGGACATCTTTTCTGCACCAACACGCAGGAGCTGTCGGGCCTCACCGTCCAGGACCTGAGTACTCTAGCCCTCCAGCAGCAGGCGCCGCTGGGGTCGCGACATGCCATTGCCTACACAGTTCAGGACATGACTTCCACCGGCCTTAATTTGTCATCCAGTTCTACATCCTTGACCACATCCAGGTCTGTGGCTACATCCATGACATCGGATGGATTACTCCCAGGGACCATGGATGGAGTTTTATCCTCTATCCCTTCCACATCCTCCAGTGACACTGGAGGTACAGTAAACTTGGTCCATCATCAGCCCGTCTCATCAGCGGACCTATCCACCTCCATACAGTCCGCCCTACATCAAGGTCTGTCATCAGGACAAATCATCGCCTCTTCTGGGGGCCAATCATTCCTGTTATCAACCCCCGCTTCCAGCCAATACTTCACCCCCACCCCCTTCAGTGGTGGTCACCCCTCCCACATCACCTTCACCGCACACCTCCCCTCCCACATCGCTGCTCAGCTCCAGTCTGGGGGACTCACTGCATCCTCTGATGCTGGGGATGTGGGGGCTTCTCATCTCCCCACGTCCTCCATCACGCAAGTTCCCCAACAGACAATAACGTTCGTGCAGCACGCCGTAAATAACGCTTACGAACACGCAACTAGTAACAATAACGCCGGGTAACGGGATGTAACGTTCGTGAAAAATAACGCAAACTACGCTCGTGAATGACTACGCAAATAACGTTCGTGAAAAATAACGTTAATCACGGCACAGATAACGACAACGTATGGTAACGGACCTGTCATTTGTATATATTATGTTCGAGTTTGTATATAACTTAACCGACCCTCTATCATTGTATCGTTAATTTATATAAACGAAACGATTTAAACATAAGTTTTATGTTTAGTTTCTGTACGTTTTTAGAAAACACAGCTATGCCAGCAGCTAGAGTTTGTAGTGTTCGATAAAATGTAAAGAATAATGTAAAATAAATGTTATAGGTTGATGATGGTGAAGAAATAAATGTTATAGGTTGATAATGTAATGAAAATGTAGTCGGTAAAGTTAACTTAGAAATAATCAGCGATGAAGGCAACACATTTAAATGTATATCTCACTTTAGCTTGATATTAAGTACGATCATGTATGATATTAATTATTAATGTAGTATATTATGTTAGTATTTAGTCGTTGTTATACCTGCGTGTTCAGGGGGATTCGCCCCCCGCTTCATCTCGCCCTCTTGCTTTTATTATTATTTTTGCCCACCTCCGGAATTTATCCCATAACCTTTATCCCCTTAATCCCCACTTTACCCTTCATACCCAATTTTTTGTCATTTTTCTTAATTTTTTTCATTCATTTTCTTTATTTTTTTGTAATTTTTCTTTATTTTCTTTATTTTTTGTCATTTTTTTTCTTCAACATCTCAAAATTTAGAGTACCTTTTTTTTATCTTCATAGACGCGGCATCTAAGTTACGAGTGACGGCAGTTTAATTCAATTATATATAATTAAATTAATTTGACCCTAGCTGATGCTGTTTAATTAATTAGTTGATATAGCAGTATTATTTTTATTCTACACTATTTAATTTTTTAAAAGTGGTTCCCATTCATCGGTTCCTTTCATATTTATTGTGCATTTTGTTTAAATCTTTCATTATTGAAGGTGAATGTCGTCAATATTTATTCTGACTACTGAATATCGCGAACTGCTTCATTTTCTATCACTAAATTCAATGATATTTTGCTCTTTAAAGCAATAGTATAGCAGTGAATACGATGCTCTTTTTAACACGTTGACTACGATTGCTTTATCTTGTACTATTATTTCATTTTTTGTACTGTTTTCAAACAGGGTTGCTAGACGGTTATTTTTTCAGGACAAATTCCGTGATTTAGTTTTTCTCAATTGCGTTGGCCGGCTAAAATTTATAATAGGGGTACTTCCTAATTAAATTTTAAATACTGCAAAAAGAAAATAAATTGAATTTTTATAGCGGAACCTACAAATAAACTAGTATATATTGAGTTATTGGCCTTTTTCGGCCTTTTTTGTTCTCAGATTTGGCCGATTTTAGGCAACCTGAATTATGTACCACTACGTCCTGGAGAAATACATTTCGCGGTACGCATATGTACCAATACGTAGTCAACGTGTTCAAGCGAAACAATAGTGACTCTTATTATTGTTATTATCTTATTTATTTCGACGATTGTTTATGTTATAGGAAATATTTGTCATCTCCACGTGATGCCCTAGACTTTATTTTAAATGCTAATATAAACTCAGAGAAATGTGTTTGACTTTGAGCAAATATCGAGAAACATTTCTGCTCTTGTGTGAAAGAAAGTGTCAATATTTGGACAAAATGACATTTATTTTTCTGAATGCTTACTATATTATTTTAATACCCTTAACCATTCTACTCTCTATCATTCTACTCCTTTCACATCCTACCCACTCTACCTTCTACTATCCTACCCACTCTACCCTCTACCATCCTACCCACTCTACCTCTACCATCCTACCCACTCTACCTTCTACCATCCTACCCACTACCCTCTACCCCACTACCCTCATATCCTCTACCATTCTACCCTCTATTTTTCATGTTCCAGTTAGCAGAAATCTCCTCAATATGTACAAATAAATATACTACATTACATTACCTGTTAATTTGACTTCATCCTCGCCATAGAAGTAAGATCCAACACCTCTGTGTTCCCAGTGGGACAATCTGACACATTTATTTGTGTAAGTATCTTGTGTTTCACGTTCCATTCAATTTATAATGTATACTTTAAATGTTCATGTCGATAAAATTTTTCCTGTGAACATATCGGCTGTTTTTTTTTCATGCATAACAGATGCAATTTAATATATAACTGAAGGAGTGATGAATTTATTCATGCAACTGAATATATGACAGATATTACGCCCTTGTTTCCTGCAATTTCGTTGAACCATTTTAATGATCCCGACATTTTTCTGAAAATGTGCCGCGATATTTAATTAAATAGAATTTCTAATCAATTTTTTTAGATTCAAGTGAAAGTCACCGTCAACACTCAAAAGAATAGATGATATTGTCTAAATATCGATACACTTCGGACAGAAAGCCCACGTATCACTGATACGCCCTTTATTACTGGGGGACCAAACTGGGTCAGGATGACTCACACAGGTGCAAAAAAATATAACTCAGTACTCACTGCAGTGAGTGACAGAGAGCGCATTTTCTCGTCGACGAAAACTTGAGGTCATGGACAGACGGACGGACATGGCGAGCACAATAGTGAATTTTTTCCATAAATGAGAAAATGCGCTAAAAATGCATCATTATTAGGACAGAGACTCGCTTATTTGTTTGAGTGTCACGTAAATAACAGGCTTGGACATGTGATCAACATACGCACCTTTATTGTATATATACACAAACTATACAAAATAATACAGACTTATAAGTTATTAGCTATATTATTATTAGTTATATTAATAATATTAGGTATATTAATGAGGCTATAAATTAAAACATGGAGGAATGAGTCACCAACGCAAGTGAACGTTCTCAGTAACTGGTCGATATTAACGTATTTTTATTTTATAGTTAACTTATTGATGCATGTCTCTGTACATGTTATTTCTACCTACGATCACGTCAGTCTCTGTACACATGTTATTCCTACCTACGATACAGTCTCTGTACACATGTTATTCCTACCTACGATACAGTCTCTGTACACATGTTATTCCTACCTACAATCAAATCAGTCTCTGTACATGTTATTCCTATCTACGGTCACGTCAGTCTCTGCACATGTTATTCCTACCTACGATCACGTCAGTCTGTACATGTTATTCCTACCTACGATCACGTCAGTCTCTGCACATGTTATTCCTACCTACGATCACATCAGTCTCTGTACATGTTATTCCTACGTCAGACTCTGTACATGTTATTCCTACCTAACAATATAAACATGTATAAACATGTACCAGACATGTTCGCAAGGCACACTCAAGGCACGCGGTACATTTAATATATCAACAAAACTTCTTCAATTTCTGCTACATTTAACTTCATAATAATGATAATAATAAACAAACTTCCAATTCTTTCACATACACAAGGGGGAAAACAGCCAATAATTTGGAAATAATTAATTAATGATAAGTCAATTAGGTCAAGATTCTACTTAAGAAAGTATAATTGATAACTATTCAACGTTAACGGTGTTCAACATTTCTAATTTGTCATTTTTACAATCAAGTTTAAACATGACCAAGTCATTAACATGTTCAGGACATGTAAAAAATATGCTTAAGACATACGTAATTAACCTGCTTAACGTAGCCGTTATATGCTTAATCAGGTTAAGAAAATTAACCGCTCATTAGCGCCAGGTTAACCTCTCATTAGCGCCAGGTTAACCTCTCATTAGCGCCAGGTTAACCTCTCAACATAACCGTCTATAATTAGTTAACAATTTGGAACAATTAGGCGGTATTTAATAAGAAAACTGAACAATTATTAAACTTAACAACTTTTATACAATAATTACCAAATACAGGTTATCTAGACAACACAGTAACGAGCGTATTATACAAGTACACAGGAGGCCATACAGTACGACACACATCATATACACGTAATATACAATGCATGTATTTATACACATACATTATCAGGTAATAATTATTAATTATCTCGATTAATAATTGGGGGTTGGGGGGTAACAATATCCCCTCAGGGGGGAGTGAAGGCACTAGTTAACCCTCAGTAAACATGTAATATAATAATTAATTATCCGATATATCGGTAATTAATATTTAAAAACGAAGAAAGTGCCACACAAATTCTTTGTATCTTTTTTTTGATGAATTTATGGTGAATTTCGGCGATTTTAAGACGAATTCCAATGAATACATGGGTAATTTAGATGGATTTATGGTAAATTTTGAGAAATTCATGGTAAATTAATATAAATTTATGGTGAATTTCAATGAATTCATGACGAACATACGGAGAATTTTGATGAATTTACCAGGCGTTTTCTTTGTATTTTAATTCATGGAAAACTTGCGATTTAAGCAGACTAATGATAAGTACTGTGATGCAATATAACCAATTACATAATGAATAATTAATATAATTATTACATTAATTAATTATTTAACACATCAATGGATGGACTGCAGAGACCACAAACTTCGAGATCTCAAGACTTACAAAAATGTAAAATATTTTGCTAACTATTTTAAAGGATTAGGATGAATTTTTTCAAATGAATTTACAGGAATAATTAATAGTTGAAAACATGGAACAGAACCGCCACATTGTGGCTGAGAACCACAAAGAACTTCAATAAAACATTTCATAGGTTCTTGGGGTTTTATCGTGGAGGCAAAATATAGATTTTTCAACACTTCATGGAAAATTAATATGAAAACATTTACTTGTTATTTATCAATGAAAACTAAGAATTAGTAATGAGTTCTCGTTATTTATCGCCGATAACTAAGAACTAATGAAAAGTTCTCAAAATTTCCTCGTTATTTATCACTGCTAACTAAGAACTAGTGATAAGTTCTTGTTCTGTCTCTTATACACATCTAGATGTGTATAAGAGACAGCGATAAGCTTCTCTGTCGAGCAGGCCGATTCTTTCCCTCTCTGAGATTGTATCCTCATAGTGCCTATTGTAAAGTCTATAGCAAGTAAACTGTTCTGTATTACTAGACTTTCACTCCTGTTATAGCCAACAAATAGAAGACCCTTGAACCTTCAGGTCTTAATCAGAAATTGACAATACATTAATTAATTCCAATCCACGCTGAAAAGTGGACTTGGACA